ACGGTAATAGGAAACACGGTAATAGGAAATAGGAAACACGGTAATAGGTAATAGGAAATAGGAAACACGGTAATAGGTAATAGGAAATACGGTAATAGGAAATAGGAAACACGGTAATAGGTAATAGGTAATAGGAAACAGGGTAATAGGAAACACGGTAATAGGAAACTCGGTAATAGGTAATAGGAAATAGGGAACACAGCAATAGCAAACTCGGTAATAGGAAATAGCGCGCGAGCGAACACAGCAATAGCAAACACGGTAATAGGTAATAGGAAATAGCGCGCGAGCGAACACAGCAATAGCAAACACGGTAATAGGTAATAGGTAATAGGAAATAGCCCGCGAGCGAACACAGCAATAGCAAACACGGTAATAGGTAACAGGAAATAGCCCGCGAGCGAACCAAATAGTCGCCAGCGAACGGGTCTCTGTAAAGAACGGAAACCGAAACGACCGAATCCGGAAACGACCGAAACCGGAAACGACCGAAACCGGAAATTCCCGCCTAATTTCCTGCCTAAAATTGCCTAAAATTTAGCCTGCTCTGAACCACAGAATAGGAAGTTATACCAGAAGCGTAACTCTAGTCGTCTCCCTTATTGTTTGACGTCCACGAAAATTTTTAACTCGCTCACGTCAGGCCACGCCATCCTGGCTAGTACAGCCGGAAGTTTTTATCAGGATTTGGTAGGTATAAAGTGCCGGTTGTACTAGCCAGGATGGCGTGATTGATGACGAATCGCTTGTAAAAATGCGGACAAATATTTGCTCGAGTTACGCTTCTGGTATAATTTCCTATTCTGTGTCTGAACCATGCGTTTTATTCATTCATCCCTTAGGGACCGGTCATTATTTATGGTCGGGGGTGGCACCGAAGAGAAATGTTTCTCGTGGCAAAAATTTTGCTGACCCAACCATTAAAAAATCAAAAATTTGGTTACCCAACCTCAAGTATCATTTAAAAAATAAATACCCACCCCTGGCCAAAAACTTTACAAAGGGATGTCATTCAGTTGTCACACATGTCCTTTACCATTTCTGTGATACGAGTTTGATAACGTTCGGCTTGTGAATGTTTGATAGTTTGATAACGTTCGGCTTGTGAAATTTACTGACTTTTCTGCAGTCTAAAGTTTCATGTTGTCTGCACATTTACTTTCCTTGGAGATACCATTTGTCTCCCAACAAATCGGAAAATTATGAAGATAGTGACTCTGATTGATTCACATATTGTATTGACATATGACTGTTAACATTGAAGTTTTTAGTCTTCAATATTTGAGCGAGTCATGCTTTGAAATGACAAGAAATTTTTATTACCCAACCTTTGACTTGTTTCGTTTTTCATTTACCCAACCTTTTACTCACTCAAAATTTTGTTTACCCAACCTTTTTCTCTTCGGTGCCACCCCCCGCCATAAATAATGACCGGTCCCTTATAATAAACAAAGACTGTCAACTATCAAATTGACGCAAGGCGTGAAATGTACAACGACGAAATGTATATAAAACAAGTGTGTAAACTCCAAAGATCGATAACATTTTTATATTTATCAACGTTTCGACTATATTTC